GGTAGCAAACGTAAAACATTCTTTTGCTTAACCGAGTGAGACAGTGCCACCAATGCCTACATTCGGGAAGCTAGTAGGTCGGGGCGTCTCAGAGGGGTTATTCTGCTCGCCATAGTAAGAGATCAATAGCGGCGGTAGTGGCGGTTGTTTCAACTTCGACGAGGTTCTCACAGGTGGACAGGGTGGTGTGCCATAGTCACTCCCATCCTGCCAAGCTGGAATGTGACTGGGCAGAGTTCGATAGCCCTCGAGGCTTAGAATTGCCGGCATCGTGCCGCTCTCATCATCCCCCTCGGGTCTGGATGGTTCAGATGATTGTGGAGGCTCTCGGTATCGCCACGGTGATACAAACCCTCGACTGCAGTAGCACCGCTGGGTCTGGAGGTGGTTGTGACCAAAGCTGCAGTCAGCAGAAAGCTGACAGTCAGGATTTTGGTGGTCCAGGATCAGAGATTGGCCAAATGTGAACGCAGAACGGCGGCGCTGGTCAATGTGTGGATGATGGGATTTCCGCTCACCTTGATGGTGTCCTCGGTGGTGGTGGTGGTGATGTTGACTTTGATTGAGCTGGCTGCTTTGTCGTGGACCAGCACTGTTCGATTGTAAGTGCTGACCAGCGGTCACAGCACTAGGAACGCCGCGTCGTGAGGCTGACACTTTCGACTTCTCCGGTTCTACTGTGTTAGTTAGAATGCGAATACTACATTCTTCACCCTGTGAAAAGGTAAACCAGAGTATGGGCGTCTTCAGATCACAGCAAAACACGCGCTTTCAACAATAGAAAGGCGAAAAATGTTTTGCAATTTGATTTAAAAAGTGAGGAGGAGTACCATCTATAAGAATTCCTCTTATGCTTGGGGAATTTTAAAAGTTTGCTACTTAATTAAAATCAGTAGCGTTATAATACAAGCAAAAGGTCAGGAGTGGTATTGAGATCTTCGCAGAAAGTTCGTACGACCGTGGTTTTGAGATTTACCCCACCTCCACACCTAGTGTATTAGCTAACAAGTGGTGAGGTTTCATTCACACTTGCAGAAGTTTCATTTCATAGAGGGTTTCTAGATTTGGTTGATTTCTAACATCGTTGAGACCTTTTCGTGGCTCAACCGTTCATTTTTTGTACATTCTTCAGACATTGTTTTGAACGAGTAGGTGTGCCATAAATGTGGCTTCCCACTTTAAGGACGTTGGAATCCTTTTAAGGAAAGTAGCACCAGCTCAGACTTCACTAAAATTTTCCCCATAATTGCCCAACTAACCTCATAATGACACGTTGCACAGGCAGAAACCGAGGTCTTCTGGGTCGTTGGCGCTCGTGGACTGCCGGCATGATAACTGCTGGTGAGTGACAGTTTCTGCTGAGTCGTTGGAGTAGCTACAATTCTCGAATTGGTGCTATTGTTGTTGCTGCTATCACAAACCGAGGCATTAGTCGGTAGCGGTATGTTAGGGTTGACAGGAGGTCTCAGAAGACTCGGATATTTCGACAGTTCAAGCGAAGTTGTCGCGGTGGTGAGACGAGGTCCACTCAAATTGTTGTTACTGTCACTCTTATTGTTGTCGTGGTCGTGTTGACTGCCTGCCAGCGCGTCACGACCTAGCCAAATCCAGTCGGTGTCACGGTTCATGCGCTGCTGTGACAGACTCTGGAATGCAGTTAAGGTACAGATTACCTACTTGAGTGAAAACTATGTTATTACAGTCAAGAAGGAGTAAAGCGACTAGTATGGTGAAGGAGGAGCCTAAAATGGACAAGTGCCAACTTGGTGCAACAAGACTTTACCGGTGCACCCACAACATACCCGCACACAGAATGGGACTAGCCTTGGCCCCACGTCCAACTGCCCAAGATGTGATGCCTCCCGTGCCTTGACGAAGACATTCACGCATTTCCGAAGTACAGTGCAGGCGCCTCAAAGGTAATGCAAAATGCCAAATTTTTCTGCCAGGCCAGTCATAACGAAGGAGGCCTACTGAACTGCCTGCTTCCCCATCGGTGGAAACTCGTACAATACAAGATAGAATGAAGCGGTGCTATGCATCCCCCGTAGACGCACGATGTGAAGGACCTTTACATCGAGATTCACTTAAAAATCTCCTTTGCAAATTGTGTGCATCTCAACTGTTCTGACTGCACCGTCAGGTTTTCTTTGGAAACGAAACATCGCATAATGGGTTTATGAAGGACTCAGGGTGGTGAAACACTGCAGCCCTTTTACTTCAATGATGTGAGCGATTGATTCTGCAAGGAATCGCTATTAAAGGGCTATATTTTTGGGTGACAGGAATATGTCAAGTGAACGAGCACCTCCTAGCCCTTTTGCCACGGGAGTATGCCTCCTCTCTACTTCAGTGATGTCAGTGGAAAGCGACCTCGATGCCAACGGAAGAAGCGCATCTACTATGAGCAGGAGTAAGGAGGACGTTTACCCTCCACAATGGACTCAGACTTGTCATCAACAGAAATACAATCAGCAACCAGAGTAACACTAGTCGTAAAACCACCTAAAATCGGTCTTTGTTGTACTGGCGGCATGGAAGCATCGTGAAGGGAGCAAGCTGCGAACTCGTATTGGTATAAAACTTTTAAATCTCACCCTCCTTCCATTAGTCCTACGAGTGGTGGTGAATATGCATGAGAGTCCGCACACCTCTCTATTCTACAATACAGTTCCTTACAAGTAGGTTAAACATCCAGATGCGGAAAAAGTGCCAGTGACTTCTTCTCTAAATACTAAGACAGAGCTATCTAGTTTCAAGCAACTTCCGTGACCGACGCGGTTAGCTCGTTGGTGTTTTCTTTTAAGCCACTACGACGTTGTGGTAGCTGGAATGAGTATGGAAGAGAACGCTCGAATCATTGCAAACCCGCTACTCTGGGTCTCTGGGTGGCTTGCAATTCTTTACCACATGTGTCTCCTTCCTTAAAGAGGGTCCAGGACGCAATACGGTATTCACCACATCGAGAGTCCACTTCATTTCAAGGCTCTGTAATCCCCTTGCCATCTTCAAGTTGAAACAAATCATTTCCCAGAGACACAATGCAAACTGTGCAATGATAAGTGCTTGGGGTAGGGGTGCAACCACCGTCGTTGCCACTAAGCCCTCCGCTTCTGAGTCCGCTGATAGGTAAGTAACTTCTAGGTTTACGCGCTTCATAACCACTCTAAGGATGATTCAAAAACTGAATGCAGTGAAATTAGTTTGCCTTAGAAATCGGCCACAACAATTGGAGGGTTGGTAAACGGCGCTAAATGAAGTTGTACAGGTGACAACAATCAAAACCTACCCACAGTCCAAACTTGCGGCGAAGTGTAGCGAATGCAGTGATACAACCGTAATGCGAAACCGTCTCTCGTTCACCACTTAGTCTATCCTGCTAAAACACAAGAAATTTAGCAACTTCAGTTTGTCTTCAATTTGGGCAACTAAGACACCTCTCGCCACCTCTGTAAAGGGCAATTGAGCTTACTATGGTGTCAGTTTGGTCCGCCTGAGATTGCAGATCTGCCGTCGAGCTGCTGGAACACTCGCCCATACCAGCAGCATCAGTGTTTGCATTACTCATGGCCAACTCCGAGAGGTGCTGCAGTCGCAGGTTCTCTTTGGCGCCTCTTGCGTGCTCCCACCGGTATCGCGCCACCATTGCACCGCAGTTGACAGCAAAAATCAGTGCAATGAGAATGAAGAGACCGAGAAGGATGTACATTATAAGTTCCAGGGCTGGCCGATGACCACTCTCCCCACCGATGGGATCAATGCCACCCTTCTCACCGCCCTCACTTCCTCCAGACAACTTGATTGCAGCCTCGTTAAGACCGCTGTCCGCATTGGGACGGTCGACAAAAACGTCCCTTTCCTCGGTCGCCTTCTTTGCCAATGCCTTGTCGACAGAGTCAGGGTAGGAGAGACGTTGATAGGATGATGTGGAACGCATTCCCGGAGCGTCTTTGAGCGCTGGAGAGCCGAATAACTCCACAAGTTTTGGGTCGTAGGGTGACGGTTTCTAAAATAGTACACAAATGTGGAAAAAAATCCATGTTATTCAATCTTTGCGCGTCAAAGTGGATTGGTCAACTAAAGTTAGACCTTCAAAAATGACCCCTGCAGATCTATGCACAATGCTTCCTCATTCGTCCTCTCACTCAAGCCATAAATTGAAGGATTGAGAGGAGATTCTCGAATTAGCCCCAAAAGTATCATTTATGATGGCTTATGGTTGAAAGAAATGACACCTCAAGTGGTGGTGCTGTTTAGTCTCCGGCAATTTGTACAGGGAATGTATCGGCCTCAAATCTCCTAAATTACTCACTCACTTACACAGATCAAACAAAAAATACTCATCCGTTGGCATCCCAGTAATGCAAGTTTGCGTCCGAAGAGGGACTTTAAACTTCAAAGACCACCATGGCGGTTCTGCAAGCAGTAGTAAATGACAAGAAGCTTTATTTCTACTAGCCATTAATCAAGGTAGGAGGAAAGCAACAGCAAGAGGAAGATTCAAAGTTCTTGCAGCAAAAGGTATAAAACCCTCAGATATCATTTTTGTTGCATGTGATACCGTCGTTTCTTTCTCTTTTAGGCATTCCAAAGCCCTCAGCCTGAGCTACGATTAGAGTTCTTGCAACTCAACAAGTTGATTATGCAAAAAAACCAAGCATGCTCGGGTTGACTCCCACCTGTTGAGTTTCAAAGTGCTCAGAAAGATGATTCCACCCACGACCTTCAACACGTTTCCACTGAGAAGTCGCCGCCGCTGAGGCCTCAGAAATATTGTCCAATTGGTCGTTCCTCGAGTTGCCACCGCCACCTCCAGTATGACTGTCGTCCTCATCAACCTCATGAGTTCCACTGTTCACTTCCGGATTGGGCCAAAATCTGGATGAAATGTGGTGCAATCCTTCAACTGCAACATGTGTGGAGGAGGTTTTCTGCCCCTCCCACTGATTGGGCAATTGCAACCGTCCCCCTCCAGCCCCCTCTCCTCCTTCTCCCACCTCGTCCCCACTGCGATGACGGCTGGGTCGAGCCGCCACAATGCTGGCGTGGATTGGTGCAGAGAAGAGGAGACTGTTGTCGACATTTGAACGGAGGTTGACTCGCAGAAGGTCTCCTGTGTTATGGAAATTTGGACTTTATAGGCCGTCTGTCATAAGAGATTGTTTTCTTCCCTGTAGTAGATTCTACGATGATGAAGTGGATCCTTGCTAGCAAAACGACCAAAATTCGTTTCTCTGACTATCAAACCCCTATTGATTAGGCTACATGTAATCCTACAAATGCTAAGCGACAATGGTTCTGGTTGAATTCAACGAAGGCAATTTGTTGCAAGCTAAATGGATTACAAATTTCACAAACCAACTTTCCTTCACCACGTTGGTCGTCGTACTCACCTCTTTCTCACTTGATTGCAGCTAGTCGTAAGTAGACAAGTTATGCATTTCACTAATTTTGGCCTGACGTTATTCTCAAGAACTAATAACTTTAAAAAGGCATATTTCCAGGTGCTTTACAGATTGAACTATGACAGGAGACGTTGCGCAGAGCCACCAAAAGAATATACTTCTGCCCGTGAATTCAAACACACCCCGGTCTGAGCGATTAACTTTTTCCTATTTTGGGAGGAAATGCTGTTTTGGCTTTGTTGCAGGACTGACCTAAATTTCGCGTTTGAAAAAACTGGAAGGAATGTTACCGTTTCGTTAATGAAGGCATTTCGAAGCACTGGATATGCCTCGTTACGCCCGCATAGGCAATACAAATGCCATAGCCCGATAGAGCCACCCTTAATCTGGGTGACAGGCAAGAGCAGTAATGCCAATGGACATGCAATGGCGTGAGAGAATTTGCGAAGGTTGGCGCAAAATAAAAAGGCCGAACAGGCTCCAAGTCCCAGGCAGAACGGTAAGGGAGGAATATGACACTCAGAACTGCGACTACTTACTGTTTTGGCTGTTGTAAAGCTGCATACCTAATATGTGGCATATCTGTGCAGAGGGGGAATCGTTTTAGTCGTAATAACCATTTTGAAAAGAGTGTAGCCTGATCATCAAGCCAACCTCCTGCTTTCAGCCGTCAAAGGCTCAAGTTTAATGGTTCTAAAGTGATGAGGAACATTCTGGCAAAGTAGAGAATGTCTAAGCCGCACCATTTGGGAATGTGGCATTTTACTCCAAAGTCAAAATGATGACCACAGAAGTGGAAGAGTGATGCAATCAGGATTCCTACACCAAAAAAATGAAGCGTTTCATGTGCTACCTTAACATATCACATAGTGTTTGGAAGTGTGCACTTTATGCTCCCTAAAACGCATCTCTATCGTGACGACTTGCTTTACTTCTCTTTCTTTAGAAGGAAGTCAAGTAATGGACTCAAATAGTCTCAATAT